CTGTATGCTACATGAATTTTTCTATCCTTCTGCTCCTCTTGTGTTCTTTCAGCTCTTCACTTTTCTTAGCCTACTCCTTTCCAGTTCAGGTTCTTTTCCCTAACTAATGTGTGAAAAGAGATTAGAACAATTTACACTTTATGGTGGCAGAACTTGCTTCCCACAGGGAGTACATGGAGATTTTCTCCTCCTGAAATATTCCAGGGAGTTATACCAGTGTACATCATGAATCTGTTTAAGTTTCGGGGTGTTTGTCAACCTATCCCGTCTGCGGAACACTGATGAAAACCCTGCCAAAAATGTGAACCTGCTCCAAATAACAACCTTAAATATTTCCCTACACTGAAAATTACTTTAGAAATATGAAAGTTTGAGTAGGGGAAGCAGGTCATTTTGGTATTTGGAAAGAAAAACTCTTCAATCAGAAATTGTACTGTATACCACACATTTTCAGATGTTTAAGCCCTCTTGACAGGTATACAGAGCAAAGGATGGCACTGCAATGCTACTATATACACATACTTCTCTGCATGTAGGTATTCCTATGTAACTGGGAATCCTTCAGAAGGAAATGGATATTTATGCTTGCAATTTCAATGGTATCCCCCACCCTACATATATTCAGTGGACATGTGGAAGGTAGATTGAATATCTGAAAACAGCTATATATAGTAGCAATTTTGAAGGGGCTGAAGAACTAAAAGCTGTGGCTAGCTTAAGCAAGCTCTCTGATCACAAGTATTAAAAGCAAACCAAAACAATTACAGAACACAGTCTGTAGACATTCTAAGCAACAGCAAAATTAGTATTAAGTTCCATTTACAACTGTGTGAACAGACTCAAGTCCAGTTGCACATTTTGTTTACTGAGTGCATTTTTATATAATCAGGACAATGTAATCATACTTAAACTAAATTTGAAGCCAAGGGAAAAGTTAAACACAAATTAAAATAAAATCATGTCCTCTGTGGTACAGTGCTACTGAAATAAAAACCAGCTCCACCTGCCAGAATCAGATTTTCCACTCTGACATTTTTCATGTCATATTACAGTTTAGGTTTCAGTTAAACCTGTACCATGTCAGCTTTAGCTGCAATTGCACTGAAGAAAGGAAAACAGTGTGACGCTTTCTAAAAAGGGAATGAAGGGCTCAAATGAAATGAAATTGTCCAAGTATATGGCATGACCTTTTAATAAAGTAAACATAGACTTTCCTAATAAGCAGATTTTCAAGGAATGCTTAGGAGAGGAAAGTAGTTCAGGTCCCTCTTTCCCATTTGTATGATCAAGATTTTACAGAGAGCCGCCTGCTAAGAAATCCAACAAATCATTACAGAAGATGCAGGCTAAATGTATTTTAGTGCTGATGAAATTATTTATGTCAACATATCCTCAGAAAGAGAGAGAACACAAACTACTGGGTTTTTGAAAAAGGAAAACATATACTTCAGCAGCAGTTAAAGTGGCAGTAGGATGAGTTTAGCAAACTTGGAAGCATCCCTAACCATGAGTAAGCTAGGCTGAAATAAGTTTTACTCCAGGAGTTAAGTCTGTGATTTTTTTTCCTGACTAGAATCTAATCTAAACCAAACCAAAGAAAGGATATATGAGGGGCAGGGGGAAGGATAATTTCTTGTGTAGAAACTATAATAGGCAAACATTAAATGTGTGTTAACATCTTTTTTGGGGGGGTGGGGGGGCAAAGTGAATCATAGCCATGTCTCTGATCCCTCTATAGCACATTTCTGATGAAAATCCACCCCACGCTCCTCCTGACTGCTATGTATTGCAGGATGAAAGCTGCTTTTGGCACCAACATCAGCTTCTATCCATAGCAATTAGATGGAGTTAAAACCCTCTCCCCATATTCTATATTGCTATAACATTTGTATGCTGCCTTTTCCCCTTCTTGTGAGGAAACCAAGGCAGTCACATGGTCCTTCTCCTCTCCATTTTATCCTTATAACAATCATGGTGGTTCATTTAGGCTAGGAGTCAATGACTAGCCCAAAGTCACCCAGTGAGCTTCATGCACAAGAGGCGACTTGAATGTGGTTTTCCTTAGTCCTAGTACAACACGAACTACTCTAACATGTTGGCTGTCACTGTAATTACAATGTGATTTGGCCATCTTGTAAAAGCAATGAAAAATAGCCCATAAATTGAGTTCAAAATTTCTTTTTGGTCTTTGAAGATGCATACCTGGCTTTCCCCTCACTTTAGGATTATTGTTAGAAGGATCACGTGTTCTGAGAAAGTAATATTGGCAATGACATAAACTCTAAATAAAGAAATCCTTTCACCTTAGGTAGAATTTTAGATACAGATTTTGTAGGAAATAAACAGACTTGTATACAAGTAGGCCTGAAAAATACAACTCCTCATATAAGAAAAATGACTGTAATTATAGGAATTCATGCAATCACATTAATATCCTGCCAGACCCAATTGCTGCAAAATTATAGATTTTTTCTCTCTCTTACAATATTCTGACACTTCCAGAAAAAAGTACAATTCTTCCCTTTCAACAAGACTATTAACCCGATAGATCTTTATTGCAGCATGATGAATAAAATGGCCTACTGTAATTATATGCTATTTATCCTGTAGGGCAGTAACCACAGATAGCAGCTTGATCTGGTGAAAGGGAGAACATCCCAAAAGGCAGCCATCTGTATTGTAAACAGTAAGGACACTACTTCTGAGTATTCAAATCTGTTTGATAGGAATTAACTTAATGGTCTCCTACACCAGATCTTAGAACAATACAACCAAATCTGTTTAGTGAAAGTATCAATCTTTTAAGAAACAAAACTATAATGAAAGCAGTGTGTATATTATAGAACTCCTTACAAAACAAGATAAATAACAGGAAAAAGCATCCTTAAATTAAAATCAAGAAAGACATTTAAACTTAGGGCATTCTTCATTATGGGAGAGAACCTTCCACAGACTATCATCAATCAGAAAAGCTCTATCTACTGTATAATTAGCTCTGATAAATGACACTAATCTGAGCTACATTAGAGAACTACTGTTTGGAGGGTGTGGGGGAAAAGGGAAAGAGAGATAGCTGGAACTGTAAATAAATCTAACCACTGTTTCACTTACAGCCATCCCAGCAGGATGTCATAAAGAATTTTTTATAGGTAATATTTTCAAATGTGCTGCTGGCTGTGCTGCCTAATATCTATCATCTTAGAGCATGCATTAGTGAGTGTACAGAAGCTCAGAACAGAAAAAGCATGTTTTTAAAATAAGTTCTCTCTTTCATAAGCCATATATATTTATGGCTAAGCTCTTTATTGGAAAAAAAGCATATTCCAACAAAGTGGCTGTTTAGGAACACAACAGAAAATCTCTTTTTGAAGGCAGGAGAATGAAGATGCTGAACCACTGAAGGACCAGTTTCTTGGGATGCAGTTAGAGGAAAACAGGGAACAACTACGTACAGGAAGGTACAGTAGAATGGTTTTTATAACAACCTCCTGATGGATAGAAGAAATGTTGAGTTGGGGCTTTATGCAAGATTCTGAATTACAAAGGGAATGGGAAGGGAGAGAGTGCTTATATGTATCCAAAAACACAATCATACTGCAAATGAATTTAATACAATATGTGAGAGAGTTCACTGGATTTTAAATAAAAGTGTATTATTTCTTTCATCTCAAACTATCATGTGTAATGTAACTGTTCTGCAAGATGTATTGGCTCTGTGTGAAATAGGATTATTTCTGAAGCTGCCAGAACCAAATTTGAAGCTTTCTGAAGAAAGAAGGGAGTTCTGATGACCTATCCTGTTCTGGAAAATAGTTTTTCTATTAGTTTCTAAGGTTACTTTTAGAAAAGTCCTGTTGTACAAAGAGTGGGTCCTACAAGTATAACAGAACCAGTGGATGTGGAATAGCTGCAACCAATACATCCAAACCTACAAATTTATCTATCTTTCTGTCATTCAGTACACTATGGGAGTTCAGAAGAAGCTTTTTTCAAAACCTGATCACAATGCTTCTATTTAATGGCTCTAAGGAATGGGCTAGTCGATATTTTTATTGTTTGAACTTTATCTGAAATGCAGATTATAAATGCAACGAATACTCCTGGGATAACTATTAAAAGTAGAACACAAGCAGTGTCCAATTAAAATTGTCAAAAATTTCATGATACTTTGCATTTCATTCTTTGGGACAATATGAAGCAGTGCCCTCAGAGTTGTATCCAATTACTCCTCTCCACTGCTGCCAATGGAACACTGAGGGACTATCAGAAGTAGAGTTTGGGAAGGTGTAGGGGCCTGCAGAGTGAAGGTGAAGAGGAAAAGTCCCATTGCATGAGCAGAAATCCCAACATGCAAAGTTTGACTTTGCTCTTTAAATCTCTTCCTCATTTGGAACTGGAAGAAAACACATCTGAACTCTTTTCAGGCTCTTTATTTCAGAGCAAATAGTTTTATAAGCAGCACAAAGAAATTCTGAATCTGTCAGAAGCTTTAATGAAGCAGTACAGAAAGAATTTGAAATCAAGCTCTTTAACAACCCTTGACTTTTATAGAAAACTGCCTGTCTGTTAGAGTGAGAATAAAGAATGAGCTAAGGTTTATTCCTGAAGTTCTCAAGAATTTCAGTTTGTATTTACCCTAATTCTATATAGGCCACTATGCTGCTTGTCTAGTTCAGTGCAGTTATTTCAGAAACTTCAGCACAATGATATCACAGTGATAACATAGGCTCTACTTTCCTAAAAGTTAACTTATGGATAGGCAAATGTACCAGTTCTGAAACAACTGAGTATAAGCAATTGAGCTCTTAACAGTTAAATACTGTACTTATTCAATTAGAATGGAAAAAAATAGATTCCTTCCTTTGTTCTACCAGCAATTAGCATACAACTATCATTCGCATGCACTTTTCTACACTTTCAGTTTATTCTTAATAGCTAAAAGTTAAAGTTGTTAAAAGAGAGGAAAGCCTAGTTTGTTCTCTTCTAAGATGTACACTTACATTCTTCTTTGCTTGGTGAAGTTACATTCAGTTCTGTCGATAGTTGCTGGTTGGAGTTAACAGTCTGTGTAGATAGGGAGGTATTACTGTTGTCACTATTTGTTTCTCCAGAGAACAAATCCAATTGGCTGTTGCTTGTGCTGGGAGTGGACTCATCATCTGGTTGCTTCTTTTGAAAATCTAGCAAGACAGAAAGTTGGGGAAATAGGATGCTTGAAGAAATTGCATGTTACTACCCAATCCTGATGATACATACTTTTGTATATAAATTATGAATTTACTCATCTGTATAATGTGACTTAACCCCAGTGTTAATCTTCTCTTCTCTTTAACAAGACATTGTGATTGAACTCAGTATAAGTCAGAACAATGTACCAATGGAAAGTCAGAACAGACATATGCCAAATACATGTAGACAAAAATAAAAGATCAATTAGTACTGTGTCCATCGTTTTGTTTGCTTATTTTTACTAAAGACCTCATGACCAGTAACCTCACAACTAGACTAGTGTAATCTACTAGTGGACTATACCAGGCTTCCCTTGCACCAAGTTCAAAAGCCACAGCAAGTGCATAATGTAGCAGTAAGGATGTTCAGTGGAGTGACCAGCTATAAACATACCTATATTAAAAGAACTCCACCAACTTCCTGTTAGCTACCAAGTCATGTTCAACATTTTGCGATGACATGAAAAACCGTAAACATCTCATCACCAGGACATATAGCTGACATTTCCCCTCATACATGCACCATCAACCACTGAGCTCTTACTGGTCTTACAGAGGAGGGCTTACTGGTCATTCTGCAGCAAACAGAATGCTGCCGGGCAGTGGTACATTAACTGGCCTTCTCAATAATGGCCTTGCAGCATTCTTTCACATGTGATCTCAGAGGCAGAAATGGTGATAAATTTTAATTGCTTCCTGATCACACACTTATTCACACAGACTTTCTGTAACTTGAGAGGGATTCTGTTACTATCCTGTTGTTACTGCACTAACATGCAATTATTTTATCTGAACTGTTACCTTGTTCTGAGAAATTCCTGAACCACTGAGGAATTTCAATATATTAAGCAGTGTTTTAATAAACAAAACTTTGAGCAGAAATGTGTCCCCTTTTAGTTACTGCTTTGAAAAGAGTGGAACCATTTACTTTATATAGAAACTGAACTGGCTTCATTTTCTCGCATTGACATCATCATGCAAAATCAAAGAACTTCCTTTCTGCTGCCTCCTGCCTTACGACTTTGGTACAGGCCTTTGAGACAGCTGTAAAAATAAAATTTGTACAAACTCATTTTTTTGCATACTTAATGCATGCATTATACTCTCAACAATGTCAAGCATGGCTTAATATCTCCAATTTTGTTTTTGAATAAATATGGTCATGTGCTTAAACCACTTTGTGAGGATCTCTCTCTCTCAAAAGTAAGGGCATAAGTGTACAAATACATACATCTATGCAATGGGTTTGTCATGTAGTGCCAGGGAGCCATGTATGTTGCTCTGAGCTCTTTAGAAGATGCAAAGTTTAACGTTTACAGTGGACAAGAATTGGTGTTTGTCTGGTCTCCCTAAACTGCTTGTCAATCAGGGAGTATCTTTTGCACAGCCTTGCATAATTCCTTGAAACTAATGTACTATATGTCAATTGACTATGTAAATTAATTATGTACTATAATAACTAAGTACTTATATAGTTGGCTCCAGGATTCTCAGTATCTAATAGCATGTTGTCTTTACCTCAAAGTGCATGACAGTCGCTTAAATTAGATTTCAGCCAAATGACTGTTTTTTGTAAACATCAGAAAAAGCACTGAGAAGTCTTTAATCTTTTGTTAGCACTCCTTGTGAAATGATTCCATTTGTTATCTAAAACTGTCCTCTTACCTCCTTTCTAAAAATCAAATCTAATTTGTTGCAGTTTTTTTAAAACTAAAGTCTAGGGACATCATCATGTTAGACCACGTTATGATATCACCTCATTTACAATATGGTCCCTGATTGTGCTGGGCCACTCAAGTGCCTAATTAAGAACGAGGAAACCGCAGCAGTTGGGGAAAACCAGTACCTAAGAAGTGGTGACAGAGAAATGATGATCACAAAGAGGATTTAAAGGCAGGCCTTTGTGTTTTCTGAAGGATAAAAACTTCAAATTTTTTTTTTTTGACCTGAAAACCTGGTGAGTTTTTGGCTATAGGCCTACATTGTATGTATCTTTGGGAGACCAAAAACATAGTTTCATAAGGCTTCAATGTAGTGATACAGGAAAGAACTTACTGTATGAACAGGTCATCTGATAGGCTTTATTAAAATATGACTAAACTGTTTATTTAAAATGTTTTACCTTTTTGTAAAACTTGTCTTCATTGCACTGGCCTTTTTGCTATCCACTCAAGACTAAGACAGGATTCTGAGACTTATTTATATGCACATGTTTTATCCAAATACAAAATGTGAATGCATAGATCCATATGAGTAGTGAAACAAAAAATTCAGTGTGTACATTTGTGTACTGCTCATAAAGTATGCTTTTGTTTACATGTGAAATGTTCCAAGTATAGCATTACAAGTAGGTTAGTAACAACTTTTTGCATTTAGGACAGAAACTACAATTGGAACATATTACTAGTGATTGGTATCTCTGCTTCCTTGAATAAAGATGGGTAAGCTACATTGTACATTTTTGATCAACTGATAGTTTTCAGTTGTGGAAATCCAAAGGGAGTTTCTAGGATATCAATGTAAGCTTAGCTTAGCTTTTATTGGATTTGTAAAACCATATCCAAATAGTCCCAAACAGGACTCCCTTGGCAGTGCACAACTTTTGTATTGTACAACCTCTAGTCTGTGTTTATTTTTTAATCTGACCATTCTGTTGTGACTAGACAAGTGTACTAAATGCTTGGATATCAAAGGGATACGGACATATGCTCAATTTGACTGGGAAATCAAGTACCATGATTCTAGTGTTAGTGGTGAGAGTCCGTATGTTCAGTACAAATGGTAAGGACAATGGGCACCTTGTCTGTTGATGCCTAAAATAACTCCAGTTCATTTATTAACTTGGTTATAAGATTATAGTATCTCATCTGAAGTGAAATGTGAATCAATACTGAATTTATCCAAGGTATGAAATAATCTTGTCCTCAAAGACTCTCTCTGTGTAGAAAAACATCAATATCTTCCTATCTATTATCACTGTGTAATCAACAGATCAGCAACTTCTATCAACTACCGATCTCTAAAGGTAACCTGATGATAACAAACAGAATTGTGTGCCATTTTGCTTAATCTGTCTGTCAGTATAACATCTAAGGCCTTAATAGCCTTCTTTAAAATGAGCAATTGGCCAATGGAAATCTTCTAAATGCTGGATCTTTTCCTGTTTAATAAATCATCCTAATTTCATCCGAACTTCACTAAGATGTCTTTTAAAATGTAAAGACTGGATTTTGTAATGAGTGTATTTGCAATCTGAATTGGTAAACCACTTAAATCTGAAATTACGAATATCTTTAAACCACCATATATTCAGCTTTACATAATTTGACAGATTTCCATCAGTCCCAGGAATGTTAATTTCAAAGGACTGAGAAAAATTGAGAAGAGCACTGCATTTACTTACTTGCCCCAAAAAGTCATTAAAAAAAAAAAAAACTCCAAACAAACTAACAAAGTTTTGGTGGGTTCTGTGGCAACAACTCCTGGAAGGAAAGCTTAGAAAATGGTGGCATACAGTTTCCATGAAGTGGACTACACTGGACTACACTGTAACCCTTTGCTGGAATATAATGATCAGAATGATCAGATACTTAGTATAAGGTAATAAGACCCAGAAATACCTATCTATTTATTTTTGCATGCCATCATTTCTACCTTTCAAGAAAATTCACGGTGGCTTGCATGGTCCTCTTCCTCTTCATTTTATTCTCACAACAACCCTGTGAGGTAGGTTCAGCTTAGCGTCACTGACTGGCTAAACACCACCCAGTAAACTTCATGGCTGATCGGGGACTAAGCCCCAAATCCAACACTCTAGTGACTATATAACACTGTTTCATCAACACAGCTACACTAACTAACTGTGTACTACAGATGCTAAGGCCATTTCTAATTTCTCTTAGCTTGTTTTCTGTGTCTATACTTTAAGGGTTGCTGATGGTTTTGTCTATTAATGAGAAACTATATTTCAATTTTATTTTACTCCTTCATCCTAAGAATTAGCAATGAGTTATGAAATGATTTAAATAGAGCTTATTAAGCCCAAGTTGATAGCAAAACAGATTGTTCTTCAAAATTTGCCAGGATCTTAAATTCAATAAAATGCTATTTTTACTATGCTAACATCAATAGCAACAACTTAAGAGAGAACAAGAGAAGAACCAAAGGACTTGCTACTATTAAAAAATAATGCCTCAGCATACAAATTAATTCTCTTCAGTTTATTACTTTAACTAGCTTGAAACTGAAAGATAAAAATATGCAATGAATAAAAGTTGCATTAGTTTCTTCCTGCTCTGTCCTACAGTGGGGCGCTAGTTTGAAATTACTGATTTTTTCTGTACAACCCAATCTTTGCCTCCATGAGCAGTAGTTTTGCACTTGAGATGGGCTTTGGAACTTACTGGTGATGCCACTTGAACACAAGCAATGTAAGCACTAAGTTGGGGTTGCCTCAGAATTAATTAGAAAGGAATTTAAGGCACTCCCAGAACCCTTCTGGTACCTTTACATATGCTGTGTTGAAAGTAGGGCATTTATTACCTATTTAAATATTTCCGCAGCACCCCCCCCCTCAAGGCAACTAACAGCAATAAAATTCATATAATTAAAAACTGATATGGTAATAAAATGACAAATATGTAGAAGCTCTGCAATGAATGGCACAAGCAAATGCAAAACTGCTTTCACCTGTTTGGTATTGCATCTTCAACATCTCTGGTCTTCATATAACTAAGTCAACATTACTACAAAGTATTTTTCTACTGAATTGTTGGTTCAGATTATGCGTAAGGACATTATTTCATGACTGCTCACATACTATTGGGTTATACCTAATACCTGTATTCAATGTCTCATTTTTAACTGGAAAGGAATCTCGCCTGGCTCATATTTTGATTTCTTATGCTATAAACCTAGCATAGGAACAAATACTTAGAACAAATAAAGTGTAC